AATAAAGCGTATAAATTACTGTAAACTCCTTCCTTTCTTAAACTGTCGGTTTCCCTGACATATGATTAACCTAATAGACTACTCATTGGCGATTTGTAGGTGAGCTGTTTTAAATCACTTCATAAAACCCATTTCAGTTATATTTTTCATGCTGAAGATTGAAACGTTTGAGGTTTCTTTTAAATGCAGATACAAGTCTTGAAATACGTGTATGGCTTTTATGGAAGAGCTGTTTATTCAACTTCCTGACCTCTTACTGGCTAGTTCTAACTTCTCTAAACACGAGGAGCGTGGATAAATGTAGTTCTGAATCTTCCAAATACTTACAGTACACATGAGAGTTTAACTAGGCGGTTTGCGTGGTGGATATCTATTCAGAGCTCACGATGCTGACATATATGAGGAAGATTTACTGTAATTTTCTATTAAAGCCAACATATTATTACTGCCTATAACCATAATTTATTAATATTTTTTTGAGGAAAAAAAGTTACAGCTGCTTGAACACCCCATTGTTTGTTAACGTAAGTGGTAAATCTGCACTAGACTGATGGACTATTACATTGTTGTGCACAAACTCAGTTGATGACTCCTTACGGCAGCGTCAGATCCAAGCCTGTTCCAAGTATATAAGTGTCATCAAATTCAGCCAATAAGCTTAGAAGGTAATTAGACTTCTTCTTACTGATGAATGGGTTGTTTTTGCTTGACTTAAGAAGAAGACTTGGATAAGTTGATATGACAGAAAAAATTGGGTTCAGTTAAGCGTTCAGACTGATCTGTTCTTACTATGACACTACTGAAGGCAGGCTGGAAGCCAGAAAGAGTCTTTAAAGGTTTCGATATGACGCATATTTACTTACTACAAGGTAGATCCACTACAGAGAAAAGTGAAAATGTGTGATTTAAATGATATTGCCTGAAATATTTATCTAAAGTTTGTTTGAAAGACACCTATAAAGAAATCCCACCACATAAACACTAAGTTTAATTTACTACAATAAAATCTTCATCTTAGATGTCCAGGTACACATTCTCAACTTTGAACTAACTGTTTGATTAGGAGAGTTGCATACCTTAATCAATGGAACGATAATAGATAAGAAAGTGCGAATTATTTTCAGTATGATCAAAAAACTGCATTACATAATAGGTGTCCTAATCTTGGTGGTTTTAAGCCTGAATGAATCCAACCTACACTCACCAGCAAGTATTTCCTAAATGAAATAATCCATTATGACTTACTCTACTCAACTACGGAGTTATTTATTCCTAGCCCCACATAATGGTCATCTTAACCTTTGAGCCTGACATAATGCAAATCATAACATCTTCCTGGAATATTTCAACTCTCGATCTGTAAATGCTTTCGTCTAGCTTCTCTTATCTTTGTTCAATCCTATAGTGATAAGTGACAATTCTAATAAAATGGTATACAAAACTCAGCAAGCTCCCTTTCAAACTGTTGTCTCATCTGTTTGCATCTGAGCTGCAAATGTTTTAGAGTACATACCACTGAACATCCTTAGTCTTCATAAAGGTTTGGAAAATCAACTTGCATAGAAATGCCATGAGAACATCTCAGTGACTTCGTAGAATTTCTTAAGTTGACGTGGGTGCAACTATTGAATAAAGTGTAGAGTGTTTTTTACCTCTTTTTTATCCTCCTTGGGTAAGAGTAGACAAAAGTGTTGTCACATTGAAAAAGAGTTAGTGAGACAGAAACTTCCACAGAAGTAACCATTATGGACAGTTTCACTGCAAAGTTAGTGTTCAAGGAGAGCAGAAAGATACTTTACTGGGAAAAAATCCCTAAACAATATTTACTGATCACAGAAAATATTCTGAAGGAAAGATATAAACTAATTTGTTACCAATACCAAGCAGATCAGTGCTATCGCCAACTGTATGTTTTTTCGAAGACATCATACGAACGTCACAGTGGTACTGTAAAGATGAATCCAAGTGTTTAAGATATTCTAGAACAGTATTATTATTATCATTAAACTACCAAAAAACTTTTTGAGTGTCAAATCATTTTCATTCACACAAAAATTATGATGTTCCGGAATATACGTTAAAGTCGATGAAGTGAATATCGATTGTCAGTTGAAAAATCTTGAAATCGAATGTTGTCGATTACTTAATAAGGATATCTGGTTCATCGAAGGCAGATGAAAATGATTAATATGCTTAATTGTGCTGCCTACACTCAATACTTAAGATCAGATGACCAGAATAATAAGAATAATCAACAAGGAACTCTGGCCGGGCAGTGAACCAACCAAGAACCCATTGTCTAACATATACGCAAAAGAAAGTGGAGATGGATTGGGCATACACTGAGAAGACCATTCGGGGACGTCATGACCAAGCAGTCAAGTGGAACCAAAGGGGAAACGACAAGTTGAGCGTCTAAGGGTGACATGGAGGAGATCGAGTGAGGAAGAAATGAGAGAGCTTTTGGGCAGTCGTGGAACCAGGTTAAGAAGACTGCAGACGACAGAGTGAAATGGAGTCGTGCTACTGAAGCCTTATGTTTCACTAGGAACCGAGGGACAAGTAATAATGAATAATAATCTCGCGGATAATTCGAATAATCCTTCTCTTTAGCCTAATTCTACATGTGATTCCGAGATACGAGTAAATAATTAAGTATACAGAATCGATAGGACGATTCATACAACCTATGAAGTAGGACAAGAAGTTATTGCAGAGCCGAAGAAAAACTTATTGTGTTGAATTTAATGTATGAATAGCTCGATGACAGAACAGCCAGGATGTGTTGTTAATATTTTTTTCCCTTGAATAAATATAAGTGCAAAACTTGGGCACTGGTAGAATTTAATTCCATATATATATATATATATATATATATATATGTAGCGCACAGTGACAAAGTATTATTTACTTTATGACGTTTCCTGCATAAATTTTACTGTTCATAACCATATCAATGTAATCACACTCCTTTCGATATCTGATATTTTTAGTCCTGTCACCTCTTGTTTTTTATTTCTATTGATGGTAACGTTTTTCATATCTCTGGTATAGGTGTTGCGTCATTCCCATTACATGTGTTGGGTGTGGATTCAATGAACAAGGCTTCAGTAATCAATCTTTCTCCCCACTTAATTATATTGAACTTGAGTACAGCGGTTTTATCACACCCTATTGTGTGGTTGTGTGTTAGTGTATCCACTGCAGTAGCCGAGTGTTTTCCTAGATTATTAGTCTTATTCAGGTCTGTCATTCTAATTTTAGCTGAATTCCTATTTTCCAATAATCTAACTGAAAACAAAGAACAAGAGGTGACAGGACTATAAAAAGCAGATATCGAAAGGAGTGTGATTACGCTGATATGATTATGAGTAATAATCTATGCTCGAAACGTTATTAAGCAAATAATACTCTATTATTGTGTGTAATAAGTTCTTTGAATAAACTTTAAAAATATACATAGTTCTTGAAACAGGTAATGCACTTGATAAACTGAAACAACGTAATGTATATCGCCAATACCTCGCATATTTCAGATAATCGTCGTCTTCTCATTAGGTCATTTAAATTCGTAGTTCTGTCTGTTTTGTAACCTCTTGGTATCTGCTTCAGGCGGACTACTTCTACTTATGTGAATTCAGCTATTTCAAATTGGTATGAAATCATGTAGTTCATCGGCAAATACTAGCAAGGTGTATTTGCAGCTCTCAGAAACTCATACAACATCAAACGTTGAACCTACGCGTTGTAGTAATCATGTATCTCTTACTTAAATTCTCTGACCAAGATGCTGACTGATACCCGACTGAGTCTAGGATAGACCAGTAATCCCTTAACGATATTGCTTATACGTCGTGCTGAAAATCTTCTCTAATAACATTATCCTAATTCAGGAGTTCCAAAGTACTATTTTCAAGTACGTTAAATCAAATATAAAATAACATTTCACTGATTTATGTGGCCTGCTTTCCAATTGAAAACGTCAGTGGGAGGAATCAGTCATTACTACTGACTACCTAATTTAATATGGATTGCTCTTCACTGTTTAGTACTGAAATAAACTTTTGCCTATCAAGTCCAAGATATATGAATCTGCAACAGTGTTCGTTAGTTTACAGGGGCTTGCAAGCTGAGCCAAACCCATCTAGACAACACCAGTGTTGTGTCTACCTGCAAATAAAATCAAATTTTATCTAGCTTTTGGATCACTGTGATCTGGTTAGTTTTACCAGAAGATGGGCTTAGTATCTTAGATAATACTATTCTCAAGAATGAACTTATTTGCCTATATTTCATAGTATTTACCTTTCACATTCCAGATTTTTCTGCTTTTTCTTCCACCATTTATTCGCTTTCTATGCCTTGGCTTTTCTCTAACCACACCGACTTCTATTTTTTTGTAATTATAACATTAAGCATTTCTGCCTTAAAGACTTTAGTGTTGTAGATCAATGAATGCATTGCTCAGTTAATTCATATTCCTCAGCTGAATTCAGTGAAAGCGTTGTCTTCTTTCTAGCGTTTTATGTGAGAAGTTGAGAGGAAAGTCAGTAAACCTAGATTAATTCAGCTAAACTTCGCATCGAAACCTGAGCAAAGAGCAATACCTCATCATTGTTTGCTCAAAGTAGTACTTATTTTTGTTAATTAGAATATATATAGACATGTTTATAGATATGAATTTCTGTCAAGAAGAGTTCTTAATCAGCCGTGTGACAATTATATTCAACTATATTTCTCGAAATTAATCTTATACTATTTAACCACAGCCAAAAGCAGAAACAGAAAATTTTGGCATTCCAGGTGAAGTAATTTCTTTCCCCCTAAACTATTCTCCTTCTATTCCTATACTAAGCATATATTGAGTGTAATATGATTGGTTGAAAGTATAAGAAAAGAAATCGTGGGAGGAAAAGACTTCTATTAAAAATATTGATCCACAATAGGGCAAAGTTGTTATACACGTGAATTCATATATACTTACATACCTCTGCGCTGGTTGCATTTACTGCTGCTACAGCAATTACTGTTAGTACACACATTTTGCATGCCAACTGACAGCCATTTAGGCGTGTATATTATTTGGGAAGTATATTTATGTCAATCGAATGATGAAGAAAAATGAAAACCGTGTATACACAACCAGCTGAAGAAATAATGTGAAAAATTTCATTTTGATGGTTTTGATCAAATCGCATATCTTTTTGTACAGACAAAGATAAACTCATCAGAGGGAATTGTACAAATTTAACATATAGGATCTCAAAAACACTAAATCAAAACAGCTGAAGACGTTATGTAATGTGATTACTACTGAATATAAAATTATATATTTTCACTTACCTTCGACTAAATTTCATTGAATGAATAAAATGGAACAGCCAAGATTTTTGACTGGATGGACTCCAGTTGTAAAGACATTTGTGAATAGCAACCGAGCTGTAAAAGCCTTGTGGGCTATTTTTGCCATTTGTATGGTAATAGCTCTAGTCAGTTCTGTGAGTGTGGTTGTTCATAAATACTTAACATATGTAACAGTTGTTCGACTGGATCAAAGAGGTCCTAAGGATGGCGTACCTCCTCCAGCAGTCACGATATGTCTTACTGAACACCAGACTAAATACTTACAATTTCAGTATTACAAGATCAGCACTAAATTAAACATTATACAAGGAGCGCACAAGTCTTGCAGACTTAAACCTGGTGTTATATGGGATTCTAGTCAGGATGCTATTTCAGAATTTTACAATTACACAAAACATTTTACGGTGACATTCCGGACTGAACCGCCTGGATGTTATTCACTTAATGTAATGGAACAAGTCCCATGGCCTCCAGATTCAATCTGTACTACATTTCAGCTGGTACAAGATGCACCGCTAAATACAACATTTTGGAAGATTGTAAGTTTTATTTTCACTGTCTTATGCTGCACGACTGAATGATTTTGAATATAATGAATTGTTGTTTTACAAAATGATTGCGTTAAATATTGATAAAGATAGGTCAAAAATGCCCTAATTCTATATGGAGTTTGATGAATGCGCTTAAGTGGCTGATCATTTGGATAGAGGCACTTCGGATTGAAATTAATATTGTATTTACACCTACAGAGTCCGAAACCTATTAGTGTTGTGAATGAAACCTGTAAAATCTTCATTTTTCTGCTCATGCGAACACAAAACGCGTACCACAGGTTTTAGATTCAGTTGTACAGATTAAAACAAAACCCATGGCACCTGGAATCGCTGTAATCATTCGAAATATTTCAAGGAAAACAATCTTATTAATCCAAAATGAAGACCAGTTAGGCTATAACAAATGAAATGGGGAATCAACCGTTTTGTTATTTTTATCCATTGATTTTTGGTAATAGTGCTTTCAGGTAATACCAATTTGAACACTTACATGTATTTGAAGATTTGACTAATTTAAGAAGAGCTATTAAGGTTCCGAAATGCGTGACAAATGAATGGTGAAAAGATGAAAACGACGAATCTAATCTTGGTCCGACCTGATTGTCTCCATCCTCAGCCTTAATGATAGCATAATTTCTTGAGATTGCACCTGGTGTCTCATGGTACTTTGGTCACGTGTCATCACTATGCTATTTCTAGGGCCTTTAGCAAATAGGAGATCATATTGCTATAATTATTCGCAAGATATTAGTACTTAGAGTTATGTACTGGTATATTTGTAGAGATAAGTGACAAAAAGCTTCTTTGAAATAAATGTTTGTTAAAAAAGTACTTAGAAAGTAAACTTTTAGCATGAGAATATTAATAAAAAAGTTAGTTTTTCACTACAAAAGATTCAAGATCCTCAAAAAAATTTCTTTTTGTTTGGTTTTGGTCATTTCGCACAATACTTAAGCGGATTAGTTTCTTGTTAGTGTTACAAATCAGGATCTGAATTCAGTCTTTTTATATCGAAAGCTTAGCCTTTCCTCATTGTTCTTAATAAGTTGATCGGTCTCTCTCCTCACTTTAAACCTAACTGGGAATGAATACAACAATAGAGGTGTACTTACTTATATCTAGTAACACTGTTGTCTTTGTGTTATAATAAAAAGAGATTATAAATAACTTTTTGGCTTTTTAATCTCAAAGTGACCTCAGAAGTATGTTTTTACCTTTTTATAAATCAAAGTTACAGTTGTATTTATGATAATATACGTATCACGTTGTAGAACTATACTTAACAAGCTATTTTTCTGCCTGCAGTGCTTAATGATCAAGTATTTGCTAAACTGGTTCATTAGATAAGAAGCGGACTAAATTAGCAAGACTGTAACGAGTGAGAAGATGACGCCACTTCAGAATTTTAATGAGTCTCACTGTGTTTGGGAATTTCGCATGTATTTGCAATCCTTAATTTCTAGTGTTTTAAATACCAAAAGTTGCTTATTGCTTAAAGCATGCAAACTGTTTAACTTCGTAAAAGATGCTGTTAACTAAGGTCTGTCTCAAATTCACTGACTAATAACTTGAATAAATGAAGACTACCTCACTAAAACCAGTTTGAAGTAGGAAATTAAATACTTGGCAGGTACGCTACCTTTCTTTTTGTTAGACACAAATAACAATATGTAAACTATCCTCCTGTAACAACTCCTAGGTAACTGAATGAGATTTATGTTAAATCTGTCCCCCTTCATAATCAACGTTTTAATTATTAGTTCACTTGAATTTTGAAAATATATGATAAATATACGGAAGGGATATCCCGTAAATTATTACATGTACAAAAACTTTCAAATAATGACCCCATTTGCAACAAATAGTAGTATGATTAACTTACCTTAATTAATATACTGGAAGAACAGTTATAGTAGTAGCCGTAGGAAAATAGCTGAGTATCAAAATGTTTGAAATAAATGGTCCGACAATAGTGACGTCAGGAACACTATTACTGAACAGTTTGAATCGCAACTAATCTACAATAGGAATGCATTAAATACTCTGGCCCCTTAATTATCAAAGATTAGCAGTATGCCATCAACTGTATACAGGAAGTTACAGCATATTATTGCGTTCAAGACATTCGATAACTGCTTAAAATAAATAAGAAATCAAGATTTTTAAAAACTTCAGGGTTACTGATATCATGTCAATTGAACTACTGGCTTTTCTGGTGTGGACAGAATAAAAGATGCACAGAAATTGTTGGAAAACTGTCCTCCATCATGAAATACACGCTAAGTAGTTTATGCATTCATAATAGGGTTTTGGCACATAAATGTTCACTCGTTACTTTCATTCACCTATATTCAAGGACATGAGTATAACTCTATAGCTGAAAGATTCCAACCCCACTGACTATGTTCTTATAAATCCTACTATTTCTTGCAGCAAGCTTTTTCTCTACATTTTTTTCCGCTTTCAGCAAAATAAAATTGAAATCTGTTTGAATACTGCATTTTTAAGGTTGAAAAAAGTTGCTTTACTGTAGTCCAAGGTAAAAGTACAAATCAATTCAGGGTTTTAGAGAAACATTTTGTGCAAATAAATGTAACAACCACAGAATACGTCAAAGCGTGGGGGAAATCTATCTATTTCCTAATGAGTGTAGTTTAGCATGGTTCTGTTATGATACGCTCTGAAATGTTGCTAAAGATAAGTTTGTTATCTATCTTGACTGTCAAAACTAATTTACGTTAAGCCGTATCACTGAGTTCACCATCATGAAATCAATTACTTTCCTACCGAAATTCTGATAAGAACACTAATTTAACGTGGAAATACTCCTCTTTAGGGAGTATTTTGTAGAAATATTAAACTGAAGGACCAGAAAGTTGCTTATACGATCGTCACAAGTGTAGTATAGTAGTTGGTGCTTTTATAACCCTTTTTACACTCTTAGAATAAGTAATTATTATGCAAAAAATTATCATTTGTCAGATTTTCTTTTTTAAATATGCGCAACCAACTGTTTTACTTCATTTACAAATATTAAAAAACAATCATTCATGGCACATAAATTCAATCATTATTTTTTGTTCTATACAGATACCTACCTAATTTATCTGGAATCAACCTAATATATTTTCATATCTAATAGGCTTTGAGCAAAACTTAAAAGTTGATTTAGCTTATCACTAATGCGTTAATGAAAGTTAAGACAGCTTTATTTATTCAGTCTCTTGCAAGGTATTCTGATGAGAATCAAATAAATCAGCAGGTATGATCTTAAAAATCACTTGATAGTGTTATTCTGAAAGGTATCCACCATACCCTCATTCTTGTTGAAATGAATTACTGTTACACCTTTTTCGCAACACCACTTTTATTGAGACAAATAATAAAGACAATGGGTTATCTTGGCTGATGACATACATTTTCAACTAGATTTAAAGATGATGCTTGGTTATATCACTGTACAAACAGATTTCCTGTTGATTGTGAAATACTACTGATCAATTTAAAATTATCCTATCGCGTGTTCTAAGCAATATTGATTAGTTCAGCAACAATTTTCGTCAATGCCTTAGCTTTGCTGGAGAAGTACAAAAAGATAAGAAGTACTAAACAGTTATTTGTTCTAGTTCGAAACTCTTCAGGATTACTTATAGTTTGCAAATAAGTTCAAATGTGTATCATTTTCATTCCACATACCTTTTACTAGTGTTCAATCATCAAGTAAGGTGTAATAGGAATCTTTCTTTAGTTCGTCTTCAAGAAATAAGGGTGAGCCTATATTTGGCATAATTCACAGTACCGATATGATACAGTTATCAGTTTCAGTTTTATCGCACATTTAGATTATATCAGTAGCATAAAGGGCGCATTTGAAGCGAAACTTCAGTATTGACACTAATACTCCAATATATCCCGAGTATTGTTGAGCTGTATGTTTATCATCACTCCATGAAGTTTCCTCACTCATCGTACTTCAAGCCTTCAATTTGTGTAATACTATGAATAAAAATATATGGAAATTAACATTCAACATATAAATTAGTGCTATCTTCAGATATCTTGGTTTCAGAAAGCTTCAGATACTAGCATTTATTATGGTTTGCAAGAAAAAAATAGTTACCTGGTTTATAGCATAAGCTGCATCTGATATAAAAGGGCTAGATCCTTTAAAAATACTCAATTTTTCAAATAGTTCGTTTTAGTACTATATGGTACTTCATTTGTTTTATTAAGTTATCAAAACATTTTAATTCCATTAACATGAAAACATATGAACTTTTCTGACTTCGGTGTATAGAAATTACAATCGATTGCTACAAAATATCACCTTAATTGACTTATTCTGTAGATAATATTGTTTAACAATGTGATACATTTAGGAATCTAACTAAAATAGAATTACATTCTACCACACTGTACAAGTCTTTCTCTTATATTTAAGCTTCAAAATCTGTGTACCAAGTTCAAGTTTCTTCAATACAAACTTGTACTGCGAGTTTATGCATTTAAACGTTATTAACTGACACTTCAAAAACCATAAACACTTAAGCTAACTGAACTAAAATGTAATATTTTTATAAGTGAGTTGTTATTCTATAATAGATAGAAAACTACAGTTTTCACCAACAAAAACTATCATTTGATGTGTAAACCACTTCATTATAGTGTTATCGGGAGATAAAGGTAAACCTTAATAACTAATAATAACAACATCTACTGTAAGTTACTGATAACGTATACTTTAGCTTTTATTGTTGATATGAACCATATACCCAAAACTATCGTTCTTTTTGAATAGCCAAAGAACAACATAAAAGCGGTCTATGAGGTAGCAAACTGTTTACCTGAATAATGTATAGAAATGCGGACTTCCTGGTTGCTTTCTGTTTGATTGACGGAATCGAGGCATCAAAACTTTAGATGACGTGGTTCACAATCGATCACACTGGTACAAACAGACACATACCCTATATTCATGTTAAGTG